TTTATCTACTTATTTTGCATGATTTATTTAAATAGAAAAATCGCAAATCCCAAAACTTTAAAACTTTTTATTAACAAGTAGTATCGAGATAGTAGATGAAGATGAAAATAATCATGAAAGTATAATAGCAATAAAGCTAATACTACAATCAGGTGACAATAATCATGTGAAAGCCACAGTCGATGCTTTTGAAAGAAGAAGAAATGAGGCCGGTGTGTAGGTCTTCTCTCAGACGACATCGTATCCACACTAATATGCACACATCGGTACTCATTTCTCCACCCTACATGCATTTCTACACCTACACTCACGCCCCCAACATAAGTTTCCGCTTTTCTTCAGTTTTTTCTGTTTTTGCTTCCGTTATTTTCCACATTTTTTTAGACGAATTTTTTGCTTTTCAGGCTTCAGGTGGTGGAAATCTTGCTATCGACTAAAATTTAATGGAAAGAAATAAAGATAAAGATAATATTATATATATGAGAAATCGTAAAAATCTGTTAACTTTACTAAAAAGGTACTGGATTACTAATAAATAATAGTCAACAAAAAAAAATACTTTATCATGTTGAGTAAAAAAATTAAGTAGTTGTTCAACCTTCTTTTTTTCTTTGTTTTGTAGAAATAGATATGACTCTAGCTCATTCAAACAAAACACGTTCGTTCTTTTTTCGTATTCTCTTTCTTGTGTCCATCAACTGACAGAAAAAAGATTGTGTACGATCAGTGAATATTTGTTAATGCTCTTTTTTTCTTTTACTTCTTTTGATAGAAGAGATGAGAAGAACAAACGGAAAGGTTATGTTCTACGTTCACAGAATGCTTTACTTCTGCGTCTGTACTCCTATGCTCGAAATGAAGTTATTTTGAGATTCAGAGGACGTAGTCCTGTTGTCCCTTCTTAATATGGACACCTCGTGTAAGCATTTAACTCTTCATACTAGTATAAGTTTTGATGCATTAATCATTTAATCTTATACGTCCGCAAACTACTAACATTACAGTACACAAATATGTAAACATTTCCTTGCCAAAGTATTTTATTTACATGTCAACAAGAAACAAGTAAAGTTCATCGACATGGAATGTCGATTCCCTTGGTCCTAGACTGATAAAATGATGACAAAGATGTCATTATATTTTTAAATAAAAATGAATTCTGTGTAATGATGAGTTTAGGAGAAATTATTAATATTTATAACATGTTGTATATTACATACTATAGATATATTCAAATAGTTCACAGAAAACATTGAAAGATGCTAATGTATATGATAATGTTTGTGCTTTAGTAAATTATAACCACTAGCATGGTGATTCATGGCAAAGTAATGGCCATTTCCAATACGGACATAGCCAATTGTGACACAGACATGCTCATTTGAGCCAAAAGAATGGTCAACTGTGCCATAGAAATGGTTGATTGTGCCATGGAAATGGTGAATGGAGCCATAGAAACGGTCATCTGTATAGTGAAAACGGCCAATTGTGTCAAATAAATGGTCGCCTGTACCACCAAAGTAGTACTTTTGTACCATGCAAATGGTCAGTTGTATCACGACTGTGGTACTTTGTACCATGAAAATGGTCACTTGTACCACGACAATGGAACTTTGTACCACGAAAAAGGTTACTTGTACCACGACTATGGTACTTTGTATCATTAAAATGGTCATTTGTACCAAGTGTTACAGGCAGACAGACAGACACAGGTGAATTTCCGTTTCTAGACCACAGCCTTTCAGTCTAGGGAATATACAAGGTCTATTATTAATTCTGTCATTGATTGTATAAGAATCAAGTTGGGAATCTGAAGACATGCTAAGATATACTGAAAAGAACAACAATGACCATTCAAAAAAGTCTGTTTTTTCTCTTATGACAGAATTTTTCCTATATTATTTAGATTTTTTTAGTTAAAGATGCAATAATTCATTATCATCGTATGCTCTTCATTTGAAAATTTTCATCTAAGTTTCTGAAAAA